TTTTTTTTGTTTTTTATAGATTTTATTTATTCATGAGAGGGAAAGAGAGAGAGAGAGAGAGAGGCAGAGACACAGGCAGAGAGAGAAGCAGGCTCCATGCAGGGAGCCTGACATGTTACTTGATTCTGGGTCTTCAGGATCAAGCCCTGGATTGAAGGTGGTGCTAAACTGCTGAGCCCTCCAGGCTGCCCTAAGAAGTTTCTTTTTTGTTTTTTTGTTTTTGTTTTTTTGTTTTTTTTAATTTAAGAAGTTTTTAAGGGATCCCTGGGTGGTGCAGCGGTTTGGCGCCTGCCTTCGGCCCAGGGTGCGATCCTGGAGACCCGCGATCGAATCCCACGTCGGGCTCCCGGTGCATGGAGCCTGCTTCTCCCTCTGCCTGTGTCTCTGCCTCTCTCTCTCCCTGTGTGACTATCATAAATAAATAAAAATTTAAAAAAAAAAGTTTTTAAAGGAATATAAAAGGGCATTTCATCAAAGAAGAAATATAAACCATTATAAGCATTTTAAGTGTCTTTTTTTTTGTATAAGCGTTTTAAGTTTCAATGTCATATGTCCTAAGAAAATGATGCAATTTAGTAATTGCAGCAGGATAGTATTGTGACTTATGAGAAGATAGCATACATAGTTAGTGAAAGTATAAGAAACTAAGTATACTTTTGCTTTTCTGGTGAGAACATAAACTCTTTCAGTCAGTCCTGAGGTATATTTGGCTACTTTTTCAACAAAGTTTAAATGAGCAAGATAATTGAAATGATTTATATTGGTCAGAATTTACTTAAGAGGAATGATCAGTCATGAGTAAAAAACCAAATTGTATAAATATGTTGATGTGAGAGTTATTCACAGTGTAAAAATTCAGAAACATCAGAAGTGGCACAAATGAATGATTGGAGTAAATATACCAATATAGCTTCATGAAAATGGAATGTAATATGATTGTAAAAAGTTTATTTGCAAATTACGTAAAGACATTGAAAAATATTCATTAGATTAAATTGGGGAAAAAATTAGAGTTTAAAGCAGAATATACAGTATTTTTCAGGTTTAAGTTTGTGTGTTACATATCAAGATATTAACATTTGGAGTATAATTCATATTTTTAGATTTATGTTATGATAATGCATAATAAGTAAGCTTACAACAATGAACAGTTCTTCTATAATCCAGAAAAGAAACGATAAAAAGAGTTTCTTGTAGAAAGTCAGATTTTGGTTTTCCATGTTCAAAAGTCTTTGAACAGGTTCCTCTTATCCCCACTTCCTAAATGAAGATAATCCCTTCAATTCTACCTTCATGCCTCTGTTATTATAGTCTCTGTGTCCTGAAATCTCTTCTTCTGTACCCTCTGTAACATCTTAATGGATGTCTCCTGGGTCATGATTTCATCACACCTGGCCAGCTGCACTGCCTGCTGCTGGTTCCCAGGACTTCAGAGTATCACTTCTTAATGAATGTGTGAAATTTCACATCATGATTTTCGCAGATTTGCTCCTACTTCTCATTGCTTTAATTCTCTGATAATGCTGACATTATTTCTTGTGATCAAAATTATCTTTAGCTTTTTCTCACCCCTTGCTTCTCACACCCACATCTTTCAACTTCCTTTTCTTACTGGGATTTATAAACACCTTTACCCTTATCAAATAAGTGCTGTTTTATCATTAAATCACCCAGCCCTGCCTTTTAATCAATATATCCAACACTATCCCTACTTTAATCTTCTTGAAATGCTGCTTTGACAAATCAATGTCTTCTCAAGTTTCTGTCCTATCTATATGATGAAGTTTGTGCTCATTCTATCTTATGTGATAATTCTCAGTTCTTATCATTCTAAACCTTGCAATCTACTGAAACATAACTTTCCTTGACTCTATTCCCTCTCTCAAATTCCTCTCCTTTTATCTCCACCTGCTTTAAATCTCTTCATTTTTCAGAGTCCAGCTTAAATTCTTTCTCCTTTGCAGGTGATTTGACAAATATCACATGAAGCTTTTTCTTAAGTTTATCTTAAGTTGATGTAGGTAGCTTATTGTGGTTGGGGAGGAATTTAAGTATCTGCAGAACTATATGATTTTCTTAAGAAATTAACTTGGTTTTTGAGCAGGATGACTTTACAGTTCCCTTTGTCTTGTAAAGAACAGTTTATACATATTTTTTCTGGCATAAATATTCCTAACGTTCCCTCTCAGTTTTAAAAATTGGGACAATAAATTACATGGTTATCCTACTTATCCACTACAAAATAAAATGCATAGCAACACTTGCTGGTGGATATATGAGCAAGTGGCTTCTAGTGAACCGTACACTATGAGCATAAATACTAAAGAGAGCCACCTGAAGTGAAAGAATGTCTTTCTAAATCTTGATCTGGAAAGAAATTAAACTGTAGTATTCTGTAACCTGTGTACATTCTGGATGACTTTTCAAAGCAGATTTGGTATATTGAATATAGTTGTCTAGATTGGAGTTGATGGAAAATATCTATTGATATTTGTTGACTACAGTTGATGGAAAACTGTAAGAGCAGTTATTTTCTTTTATCCTTCTTTGTGCCCCCACTCCCCATCTTTTGATGACATGGGATTGTGCATGGCCAATAAGTTTCTGAGGAAATGACTTAATACTCTTAGGTCAGGGGCCCCCAAGAGCACTCCTAGGTTTAGTGATTTGCTAAGAGGACTCACTGCTCTGATATATTAGTGAAAAGATACAAAGAAAAATCAGCAAAGCATGTAGAATGAAGTCTGGGGGAAAGCAGGCACAAGCTTCCAAGAGTCCTCTCCCAGTGGGAGAACATGCTTAAGTCTCCCAGCCCAAAGTTGTGACAGCACATGTAAAACGTTGTCTGTTAGAAACTCATTATAGATTGAATGTTCATAGTCTGTAGGGGGCTGGTCACATAAGTAGTCTCTATTTATCATATCCTTAAATTCCAGACTCCCAAAAAGAAAGCAGGTGTTTAAAGTAAATCTTGTTACTGGCACAATTTAGATAACTGTGATCTACTCTTAGGTGGAAGGTGCCTTGCTGAATTCCACATTCCCAGAAGCCAGCAGGAACCAGCCTTATAAGCAGGTCTTTCAGGCGAGAGCACTCAGGCCACCTTGCTCTTTTCCTCACAGCTTTGTTAACCACAAACAGCCATCTTATGCTGTAAAGGTGTTTCAACATTTTGGTTTGTTCCCATGTGCTAGTCTATACAATCAATGTCATTATTTCCTAAAGAAAACCTTCAGAAGTAACTTGTGGCATAGAATGTTATCTCTGATATTGGAAATATTTTTACATCCTTTATATCCAGTGTTGTACTGGAGCTTTCTTTTGGAGAGCTGATGTTCTTATCTCTAACTTCCACATTCAGTGATGTTAGGTTTGTGATTTGGAACTGGCTGTTTTGGGAATATTTACACCACAGAAACTGGCATAGACAGAGACATCAGGCATCCCCACCAGAGACCCAGTTGTTGAACATCGATTAGCATACCACCACCTATACCTGCTTACCATTCATTCTGTAAATACTGTGATAAGAAAATATAATAATTTATATAGAATGCCAGTTTTGTTGATATATATATATATATATATATATATATATATATATATGTTAGGAAGCTCAAATTTCCCACCTGACTTATATGTTCTTTTTGTATATTAGATGGAAACTTAGAATTCTCGACCTTAAAAATCTCTAATAAGTTGCTCATAATACTGGGTTACTTTATTTCTATAAATAAAGTTATTGTAAATAATTATTAAGGGTATTTCAAATGAAACTAATATGCTATGATACCCAAGCCAGCAAACCTAACTTTTATCGTTTTTAAAAAACTTTTATATCTGAAATTACCATTGTAAAATGTCTCCAAAGCATTTTCTGTTCCCAAATTATTGTTGGTGGATACTTAGTACTCCAGAGAGCCCATTCCTTTCTTTTCATCTGCTTTTAGTAACTCAGCTGGCAGTGTACAGTACAAAACTGGGAAAGAAAAGCCTTTTAAAAAGGACATCAGATGATAATGGGCATGGAGGGGAGGCAACATAAAAAAAAGAGGAGGAAATTATCTCGATAACATTTCCCTCTCTTTATCAATAGAACTTCTTGTAGTTATGCATAATAAATGTGCAAACAGTATTAGAGCATGATTCACTGGGTTAGGACCATTGAAATTTTTTTGGTTCTGCTACCAGTATTCTAAGAGTTAATCTAATGATGTGACTCTACTGAATATTCTCAAATGATTCTCCCTCAGTTAAAATCCAAATTTGTTATAAAATATCCAAGATTTTTTAAAGTTGTGATGCCAACCTTACTTTAACCTTCTGTCCTCTACTTTTTTCCTCTGTAGCCAAACTCAGTCTCTTTCATGCCTCTTTTTTTTTTTTAATTTTTATTTATTTATTTATTTATGATAGTCACACAGAATGAGAGAGAGAGGCAGAGACATAGGCAGAGGGAGAAGCAGGCTCCATGCACCGGGAGCCTGACGTGGGATTCGATCCCGGGTCTCCAGGATCGCGCCCTGGGCCAAAGGCAGGCGCCAAACCGCTGCGCCACTCAGGGATCCCTCTTTCATGCCTCTTTACTTCCTCATGAGTTGACTATTTTATTTTTCACTATTCACTGCCACTGCCAGTTGTTCATCTTAAGATTCAACTCATACCACCACCATCTTCCTGAATTTAGTTTCTTTTTCTATGATCCCATCGATTTCCATATATATTTGTATGCCTTTTTTATATTTTTTATGGTGACTGTTGTATGCTTACTTTCCCCAACTTCACACTCCATATCATATAAGCTCTGGTGTGCAAGGACTGTGTTTTCCTTGTCTCAGTATGTTCAAAACATAATAATAATTGCTATATTAAAACTTTTTTGTAGAGCTTAATTTTTAATAAAGATTTTGGAGAACAGAATTTGAATCATTTTCTACATAGAACCATGAATATTTACACTGTGTGTCATGATTTGCCCTTTTTTTTTTTTTACTCTTTAGGCAGATATACAGGTTGACCGAGAACATCAAAATTTTTATGAAGCATCACTAGAATATGTCTTTAAAATTCAAGAGGTTCAAGAAAAAAAGAAGTTTGAATTTGTTGAACCGGTAAGCTTCAGTTTCCCTACAAAATAGTAGTTCTAACACATCCTATAAAAACAAAATTCGTAATGTTTTTCTGTTGAAAATTGTGATTTTTTTAAAGACAAAAAGGAAGGGAAATGTAGAGGAGGCTCAATAGGTAGAGTACAGGGCACAGTTAGGGCAGTGGAACTATCCTATATGATACTATGATAGTGGATGCATGTCATTACACATTCGTGAAAACCTACAAAATGTGCAATGAAAAGGGTAAACCCTAATGTAAAATATAGAGGTTAGTTAATGATAATGTATCACTATTGGGTTATCATTTGTGACAAATGTACCACATTAATGCAAGATGTTAATAATGGGGGAAACTATGTGGGGTGGAGGTTGAATGAATATATGAGAGCTCTTTATATTTTCTACTCAATTTTTATATAAACCTAAAACTGCTCTTAAAAACTTATTAATGGAAAAATTAAAAATTTAAAAGGATTTACATTATACATACCTGAGTAAATCTAGCTCACCACTGAAGTGACCCATTTACTCAACCTTTAGGTGAAAGGAGAAAACATAAGGTTATATTTCTCCCGTTGTTCCACTCCACCTTCTCACAAGGATAGGATCTGCCTGACTTCCCTATGAAGTCATTTATTTTCCTAAGTCAGTGTAAAAAGTAATGGATTCTCTGCTGTAAATTGCATTACAGGAAAAAACAGGTGGCTGGGCTTTTTAAGCTTACTTCATTTTCTTAGCATTTTTTCCCCAAGTACTAGCATAATATGTTACAATATTGCCTGAGTAAAGCATCATCTGTAATGAATCCAGGTAAGTGCTAGAAGTCAAGATAATCTTCTGTTAATATATAATGCTCAATTCCTGTTAAATGAAAGGATAATAATATTTAAATACATAGGTAATCTAAAAGATGATTTAATCCATTTATTTGTTTCTATGTCAATTGTCAAAAAAATCTGTTTATAGGGGCACCCAGGTGGCTCAGCAGTTGAGTGTCTGCCTTTGGCTCGGGTCATGATCCCGGGCCCTGGGATGGAGCCCCATGTGTCTCCTCCTCAGCGGGGAGTCTTCCTCTCTCTCTTCCTCCTCCTCCTCTGCTTGTGCTCTTGCTCATACACTCCCTCTCAATAAATAAATAAAACATCTTTTTAAAAAATCTGTTTATAATAAATAAAGTACCTATTCCTATTTAAGTGGAGATGATGGAGAGAAGGAAAAAGAAAATACATTTTAAAACACATTTGATAAAATTAACTTCTTGTTGGAAACCCATCACTGATTCCCTAAGGATAATGGGAAACAGGCAGAGCAGAGGCTGGGGGAGAGTTTAGTCTGGCTCCCAGCCACTTCTGCTTCACTTTTCTTCCTTTAGCTGAAGCAACCTGACTCTCTCCCATAAATTGGGCATTTGACAAGTGTATAAGACTAATGCTTCAATTAGACAAATTTAAGGAACTAAAGACCACAATGCAGGCTCAGGGATTTAATTTTTACCTTTTATCTGGGATAACAGTCTTAACTACAAGTTCTGTTTGCTAAACAGCTAAGTCCTTAAATTCCTGAAAATGAGTTAGTAATCTTTCATTTAGATGTTGGGGCGGGGTGGGGGGAATCTCATTAAATTTTGTATGAGTTAGGGGGTCTGCTGAAGTTATCTGTGGCTCATTGAGAATGAGGCAGCCTAACAACTCACGGTCTAGGAAGATGACCAATACTTAAAATTCCTGTTCTCTGAATCCCACTTATGGCTCTTTGAAACCACTCTCCTTTGCTGACAAACAGCTATTTCTTGGGATTTCTGAATTTTAGTTCTTCTTGACACTAAACTTTTAGTGTATGCTCATTATTTCTGATGGTATTTCTTCATGCTTGTTCCTTACCTGCTCCCATTCTTTTCAGATACTATGCTCATCTGCTTTGTTGTTTTTCTTCCTTGCAGCTGGAATGACTCTTTGACACCTGTAAAACTCCCCTCTCTCTCCCCTGGAGAAAGACATGTCTGGAGAGAGACATGTGGGTAGCCTATTACCCTGCTAAAGCCTTTTTTATACCATATACTATCTGGGAACAGTGAACTAGACCATTCCGTCAGATGACATCATACATATAAGAAGACTATAAAAGTGTTAGCTCACAGGTGACTGATGGAAAGATAAGAATTTGTAAATCCTTTTGTAATACATGTAGAGAGGTGGAAACTGTGCTTCAGTTGAAATGTATTTTATTGGGCAGCCCGGGTGGCTCAGTGGTTTAGCGCCCCTTCAGTCCAGGGCCTGATGCTGGAGACCCGGGATCCAGTCCCACAGTAGGCTCCCTGCATGGAGCCTGCTTCTCCCTCTGCCTGTGTCTCTGCCTCTCTCTCTCTCTCTCTCTGTCTCTCATGAGTAAATAAATAAAATCTTAAAAAAAAAAAAAAGAAAGGTGTTTTATTCCTTCCCTTTACTATATCCCAAATGGGAATGAATGGTCTGCTAAATCTTCTGTAGTGCATGCCTTTTTTTTGTGACACCACAATCAAAATCAATGTTAGATTTGTACTTCTTCCAAAATATTTTCTTGGCTGCTATATTTTTCTTATTGGAATGTCTGGCCAAACTGAAATAGTGCTATCAGTTTAGTTTTGTTCTCATTTCTAGCCATACAGCTTCATCCATGGAGTTCTATTTAATTTCCCTTGCAGTAATGAGAAAAATGGAAATGGGAGCAATAAAACATGGACATGCTGCTCTTTAGGTTATGTATTTACAAAATAATTTTGCAGAAATTATCTTTTAATTTCAAAAACAAAGAAAGAAAACTTTTAATTTTTTTTTGTTCTACAGAAAATTCAATTCCTGTTGCATCATTGTTTCATTTTCAGAAGTCTGATAGTCTACTCTAGTTTTATCCCATATTTATTTAACAAGTAAACATTAGACTAAAGGAAAATGCCCAAGGTTGGGATCTGTCTTCTGCAGATTATAAGACATAGAGTAGAATAGAAACTATAAGTAGGGAATGATAGTTGGCACTAAATATCATAAAGTAAGAATTTTGATCTATTTGAGATAATTTTACATTGTGTAAATTAGTGTCAAGATCTTACTACTTGGGGCAACCCCAGTGGCCCAGCGGTTTGGCGCTGCATTCAGCCCAGGGTGTGATCCTGGAGATCCAGGACTGAGTCCCACATCAGGCTCCCTGTATGGAGCCTGCTTCTCCTTCTGCCTGTGTCTCTGCCTCTCTCTCTCTCTTTGTGTCTCTCATGAATAAATAAATAAAATCTTAAAAAAAAATCTTAGTACTTGACATAAAAAAATCTCTACAGAATATTCAAGAGGTGCCATAGTACCCACCTCTTATCCACAGGTATATATTCCAAGACCCCCAGTGGATGCCTGAAATCAAGAGTGGTACTACCCTATATATACTGTGTTTTTTTCCTGCACATGCATATGTAACTATGATAAAAGTTTAATTTATCAATAGGCACAGTAAAAGATTAACAATAATAATTAATAATAGAACAATTATAACAATATACTGTAATAAAAGATATGTGAATGTGGTCTCTCTCTCAAAATATCTTACTGTACTCACCCTTCTCGTGGTGAAGTAAGATGATAAAATACCTCTATGATGAGATGAAATGAGGTGAGGAATGTGGGTGTTGTTAATATATTGTTATTGTTAGGCTACTGTTGACCTGATGATATGTCAAAAGGAAGATTATCTGCTTTCACACTGTGGTGGACTGTAGGTGACTGAACCACAGAAAGGAAAACCTTGGGTAAAAGGATATTACTATATTAGAAATAAATATTCCTACAGTGCCATTATTTCGAGGAAAGGCCAGTTCTAATACATAGAATAATAGGGGACATTTATATACTTTTTATAAATCTTTGTAATTTTTTAAAGGATACAAAATAAGCTTTTAAACTCAGTTCTCCATTAGATACATAGTTTTAATTATCACATATATAGTTTAGTTTATCATATCTTATATAGAAAGTGATTTAAGTTAACTGATCTCTAGATCTACACTATGCAGTATGGTAGCAACCACCCAGGTATGGCTATTGAGCACTTGAAATGATAGTCTAGATTGAGATGGGCTGTAAATGTAAAACACATACTAGGTTGTAAAGGTTTGATACAAAATGTATGTAAAATATCTCAAAACCTCTTTTATATTGCTTAACTATTGAAATAATATTTTGGATAAATCATATTAATTAAGGAAAATATTAAATTTCACTTGATTTAAGATTTTTTATGTGGCTACTAGAAAATTTAATATTTCACATTAGTTTATTCACATTATATTTCTGTTAAACAGTGCTAAACTTCATCCTTTCAGATTTGCCTACAAGATATATAAGTTCAGGTCTAAAATGAGGGGAAAAGATTAGAGAGGGAAAAACATGATCTCCTGACTCTTGATCTAAAGTCCTTCTTAATTCTCTGAATTGCTTGGAGCTTATGAGAATTTTGAGAAATTAGGAGAAAAAGCTTCTGAAGTATGCTGAACATGAACATCTTACCTAAGAGACTTGAACCCTAGTGTATTTGAAATATATTATGGTACATGAAAGTTTGTGACTCAGAAACCCAGAGAATCTTTTTATGACTTAACTCCCTTATGGTTCATTCAGCTGCAGTTGGTGTGTTTTGATTATATTCTTTAGCATACTTAGCTGAAACTAATGTTTTGCGAGCAACTACTATGTGTCATGTGTGTTCTCTGTGTTATCTCACATGGCCCATACAGCAGCTTTATTATTAGGCAGTTGTTATCATAGAAGAGGAAGTTAAGTCACAGAAAGATTGTTAGTTGCGTGAGATCACAAACTTCAAGAGAGGGAGACCCAGGAATTCAGAATGTAAAGCTGAGGTCATGTTGTAGCATTCACTGTCTCAGTGGATACCTGATTATAATGATTATTGCTTCCTTAACACTTGCTCTGACCAAGTAAAATGGATGACTCTAGAAAATTGTATTGTAAAGTTATTTTAAT